ATATATTGAGACAAAAAGATGGAATCATACGCGAAAAGGAGGACAACAAATGCGATGGTCAGATGATTTGAAGAAATATGCTGTGTCAATATAAATGCAGCCGATGTCCAAAGTCGAGGCCTGGCTCCAACACGACTTTGTCAGAAAGAACGATTTTCCTTTGTTATTTGATAACATTTAATTGTGATGCATTCACACACTTTCGTGAACCATTTCCTTTCATGGCGCGTGATACATACCTACTATTTTTTTCCATCAAAAATTCTCTTGTCCTCAGGTTGGACTGGTTGGAGGTTCAGGCGTCAGACCAAGTCTGATACTCGGAAAAAAAAGTTGGTGTTAAAAAAAAATCCCTCGCAGAAAGTACCATAATAGCCAAAGACATAGGTACAAAGGATGAGAGCCACTGATGTGGTGGTGTGTCGCCGATTAAGTCAAAGGGGGCGACATGGATAGGAAACGATATATTTGGAAAAGTGGTGCTCATCTAGGGAAATTGAACATGGTCCCTAATAGCCGGAGAGCCAGCGCCGAAAAAATTCTCTGAATTTACTAAAGCCAGTTTTTGGTCAGTTGATTACAGTATTTACGTACATAAACATACCTCGGACAGTCAAGCAAAACTTGGGACAAGGACCTAGGGTGTCTGGTTAAAGTTGTCGAGATAGCTAAGTAATACAACGAATTTACTTAGGCTGAAAATCGCTATACATATTATATAAGTATAACACATAAATAACAGTGATGTTTGTCAGTCAGTTGAATAGAGGAACTGGGCCGGTCATTCAGCCCCATTGAGGTAGTTCAGCCCCAATTTATGTAAAAAAATAATAGGTCTATTTTTTTTTTAGAGTGACAGCGTGACAGTGACAATTCAAAATTGTAGGTTGAAGTTTAAATTAATAGGTTTGTTCAGTAATATTAATATTTTTTGCAGATTTTTACATTTATTCGGGCTGACTGACCAGCACTGTCCCGCTATTTAACTGACTGACTAACACTACTGTTATTTATATGTTATAGTCGTAATCACGATAGAAAGTGAAGTTGACAGTTCGCGTTGACATATCTAGTTTTTTTTTTCTTTAGGTTACCAGCATGCGTAAGCGTTTTCATTCCTCCAGCTGGGATAAACGACAGGGTCGTATTTAGGAAAATGATATGCATTCCAGATTTATTTTTAATTTCTTTAAAGGAAGTCAAGTTATTAAAATCCTGCATAGTAATATTAAACATCTGTAATAGAACAAACGTAATATTTTCTAATAGTTGTTGCTGTAGCTGGCCGCCCAAGTACTCTGTTGATTTTTAAAGGTTAGATGGTATATGCGAGCGGTTTATTGATGCTAGTTATTTCCTTGGGTAGCTACAGAATTAAATGCTGAAGGGGGTTTACTTGCAAAAGAGAGAAACAACTGCAGTATTTCCGCACATATTATATTTAATTTTAAATAAATGAACCCAAATTTTTCCAATAATAATATACAGTACTTAAATTTCTACTCAAATTTTCCATTAATAAAATTATACAGTACTAAAATTTCTACTCAAATTTTCCAGTAATAAAATTATACAGTACTAAAATTTCTACCCAAAAACTCTTCTCATGTGGCTTACATCAGGCTTTTCCATGAGGGCTCTTCTTGGATCATCCTTTCTAAAGGAAAATCCTAACGTGAGCAAAACCCTGCCTAAACTTGACTGGGAACCGTAATAAATTTCACTTTCTTTCAGCCTATCACTTACAGTCTTAAGGGTAACATATGCAATTCTAAAAACGAAAAATGCTTGTTTAAATATTGTAGTACTGTAGCAACAGCAAATATTACTGATTTTAGTTAGTATATCTTGTTCAATTAGCTTTGAGACTTTCGTCAATAATGACACCGAGTGTATTCTTATGGAATTTGCTGGTGACACCATTATAACGTAACTCTTAAAGGTAATTGAACAAAGTAACTTAGTATTAATATTTAACACCAGTCCCTATAACAAAAAGACTACTACCCAAAAATGAACTAAAATTACCCAGTCTAGTTTGTGTTAGTGAAATGGCTTAAACTTATAATTGAAGAAGAGAGGAGTATGCATTCTGTGTAATAATTTATTAAGAAAATCCGCCGAGTGCTTCCGGCCTTAAGTCATCACCAGTGCTGCTTCGTCGCAGGTACAAACATCACTCACAAGAGACAACTGACACAAGTGGACGTGCATAATTAAATTCAACTATTAATTAATCAATTACCTGTGTAGTAATGGGTTTTTTACCAAAAACTGCTAAATAATATAAAAAAGGAAGAATAACAGTAAGAGGTGGGCGACAGATGGGACATTGCCCCTCTAAATAATTTATACAAGCATAATATTAGATGATACATTAAATAGGAAGTTTAATTAGTGATACCATGTTTAGAGGTACCAAAGTCCACTAGAAAATATGACAACACAAAATGCTAAACATCTGAAAAACAATAAACCCAACACACAGGATAAAGCATGCAGCAGAAGTTACAGAAGCTCTGCAAATATCTGAACCCAAACTGTGTAGGTACGTCAAAGAGGGGAATATGAATACTTATCCTTATGAAAGACTCCAATAACTCAGGTACCTTTATTGAAAAGCAAGAAAACAATTCTAAAAAATATCATGAAATTATGGAATGAAAGAAATCCTAGCAGCATCTTAATTTGTGTTGACCTGAAATAAAAAATAGTATTAAACTATGAAAAACAGTTTAATTTGATCTGAGAAGTTCCAATGTTATCAGGTGTATTCTTTCGGAATAATCTACTGGTAATGTTAATATGAAGTAACATTGAAACAACTCTATGTTCAAAGTAGAACATCAACTTACTCTCTGTATACATTTTGTATATCTCTAATCGAATAGTCTATTTGACGCTTCCACTTGAATCAGTTGTCTGCAACTTCTTACGCTTCCGCGTGACAGGGGTAATTTCAGACTCAACTGAACCATCCTTATATTTATAGACAGTGGTCTCACTTAAAATAGTTTCGAAACCTTAGCTGTCTCCTAGAAAGGCAATGGAACAGTAAATTACAATTTATTTATTAAAAATTAACAAAAGCCACTCGGTTCGAAAATATCCCCTTCCAAAACTTGTACCTGCATTTACTGAGATTAAGACGAAAACGTTTCTATGATCAATCAAGACTAACTTTATTGTTATTAACTTACAGTTATGGGATTTTGATCTTCATGAGACACCTTGAAATGGTTGTATACGAGTTGTATAAATTGCTGTGCCACAGGGTTCCCATGAATTATTGGTCTCTACAAAAGGATTATTTGCTTATTTTTACTAAATTTGAAAACACTACCTTGTCACTTTCCCTCTTGCTTAGAAAAAAAAAAGATTCGTCTCGTAAAGAAGAAGCATCTCCAAGGTTTATTGCTGTTCCCTGAGAATAATTGGCGATGAATTATGACAGTGGTAATTTAAAGTTGCCAATTTTACCGTATTTTCGTCACACCTAAATCATCTGAGATGCTGGAACAGAGCAAAGTCACCAGGACCCTGGTACGATCGGACTTGTCCCGGGACTTTTCTGTCATCGCTAATAAGAAAACGGCACTTTTAAAATCGTAATATTGTGTAAGTATTAGGTTTAACTTACCTGAAGAAGATAAAATAAACCAGATAAGTCTTGACAGAGTCCAAAGTGAACACTTATAAAAAGACAAAACACTTAAATCCGAACTAAAACCAGGTTAGAAATGAAACGCAACACCGAAACACAAAGGCACAGAACACTACATAAAAAACCATAAAACCGATTGAGAATATAACAAAATATCAAAAAATAATGCAGAAAACGGCAATAAACTAAAACGATCTCGCGCAAAAATTCGAAATTCAAAATTCTAAGATCCGAATCTGATAATTTTATATGTCAAATCGAAATGTCATGTATCATTATTTGATGGTTGACAGAAAAAGGGACAGATCTAGGGATTTTATTTACTTTCAACTGGTGAAAATAACGGTCAAAATTTAAACTCTATCGTGAATACGACTATATATATAATATGTATAACGATTTTCAGCTTTAGTAAATTCGTTGCATTACCCAAGTTATCTCGACACCTTTAACAAGACACCCTAGGTCCTTGTCCCAAGTTTCGCTTGACTGACCGCGGTATGTTTATGTACGTAAATACTGTAATCAACTGTCCAAAAACTAGCTTTAGTAAATTCAGAGAATTTTTTCGGCGCTGGCTCTTAGACTATAAGTCTAGTTAGACAAGGAGGTTTCTTGACTTATATTAAATTAAAAATGTAATAATATTTGTTGTTAACGACGCGCTATAAAGCCCTCTATACTTCTATATACATACTCACAAATAAAGTTTCTGCGTTTCTTATATTAAATTTATAGTCAAAAATTTAGTAACTATGTTGGCAACACAAGCCTTTCCTACATAAAAAATTTGAAAGCATTGACAATTTTACATTGTATTGCCAACATAATGTCATTTTGACTTTTATCTTTAATTATCCAGACCAACTTTGTTTTTTCAAATGAAACACCCTGTATGTGATTGCATTTGTGAATTCTACGTAAAATTATGAGCAGATTTCATGTGATATACCATACCCTATACCTAAGTTCAACTGTTTTCGAAATATTGACAATTGAAAATAGACCGATCTCCTATTACTTGTACTGCGCGCGACGCTTGTAGGCTGCAGGTGAGCGTCCAATGAGAAGCAAGTTTGTGACAGGCTGGCGTCATATTCTTATTCAGGGGCCAGTTCAGAATGAATCGTTCCTTCTTTCTTTGTAACGCGTAATTTGACAAAGAGCAAACTAATACTTTACATATTACTTGAACTCACCGCAGTTTCGTTTAAGGTTATGTTAGATTATACTTGACATATTCCTTTACAATTTCATTGAGCGATGTTGCCGGATGAAACATTTATCAAAATAAAAGTGCAATCGATGTTCATCCACTTTAAAGCTCTTCTTTTGTCTGATTTAAGGCGTTGTAAAACACTTGACACTATATCACTTCTTTAATGTTATAATGTTCGATTTGTATTGTATACATTTGTTCTGCAACAATATACAATCTGGCTACACTGCAGCCTACGAGTTGCGCGCGCAGGTCATCTTTTATTGCTTTCTAACTTGTATTTTTTACAATTAAGCTCTCTTTTTCTAATTATGCGAGACAGGTCTATTGACTTTTTTGCAACTTTGACAGGCTGTGAAACCTAAACGAATGATTTATACATTCTTATCTTAGATTTTCATAAACTATCATCTGACAACCGCACTCCGGTTAAATTCAAAGTTGGTGTCAAATGATAGTTTATGAAAATCTAAGATAAGAATGTACGATCGGTTTTACTCTAAAATTAATCGCTGTGATTACAGCCTGTCGAAGTTGAAAAAAAGTCAATTTTCAACTGTCAATATTTCCAAAACAGTTGAACTTAGGTATAGGGTATATCACATGAAATCTGCTCAGAATTTTACGTAGAATCCAAATATGCAATCACATACAGGGTGTTTTATTTGAAAAAACAAAGTTGGTCTGGATAGCAAATAAACCAGAAGTGAAGCAATTCGTCTAGGTAGAAATGTGGGAAATAATTTACTGAGCAACTTTCATAAAGGTCTTTTTTTCGTATACGAGGTATGTAATTAAAAAGATACAGGTATTATGCGCGACTTTTTTGCCACTCTGTATAATATGCATCACGCGCCACAAAAGTACATGCTCGACTCGAGTCGGAGGCTCAAATTTTTAAAAACCTAGTGACAGAAGAAATGTATAACACTAAAAACAGTTTATTTTTCAAAAGTTTGACAAAAAGACTCTGTAATTATACTCCCTGGAAGAAAAAAAAAATATTAGAAAAAGTTCTCGAAGCGCGAAGTTGACAACCCAGTATTGCTTACCCATGTATTCTGTATCCTAATACTAAATATTATTTAGAACTAGAAACTAGAACTGGTTTCCCTATTTCTACCGAAAACTGATGCTTGAAACTGTTTCTATTAAATCTAATAAAGGGTCCAACATTGGATCTAACTTTAATAATTCATCCAATTCAAGCTCAGAATTACCTGAATGTACTTTTTCCTAAAAAAATCCAATAAATAATAATTTATTCGAATATTTCACTTACAGAAACACAACTGCATTCCTCCCAAGTAATTTCTTCGGCCTTATTTATGTCATAAATTAAATAGTTAGTCATAAAGAAAAAAGCTGGATTAAGTATGCATTTCCTAGCACATTCCGGTTCATAGTTGTTCCACATTGCAAATAGTCTCTTGGCTAGGGTCAGATAGGTTTCTGTGATAGGGTTTAGCTCGTCATTATTGAAAAACCCTGTCAATTGAGACTATTTCAAAGGAAAACATTAGGTAATGAAACGTTTCATCAAACTGTCAAGAATTCAATTTACCGGTCCATGTCTTAAATCCACTTTTATATCAAAATCCAATATTTCTTCAGCGGTTTGTGATAGTAGCCAGCAGAATGTTGTGGAGATATTTGTTAATCTGCCGCTAAAATATTAACTATATTGGATTGGATAACAACAAAACAAAATATGTTCTACTCACTGGTAAGATCCAGTACCATAAACAGGGTATTTATCAATAATAGCAACATCAGCAAAATACTCAAATGTTAAATTGAAACTAGGAAATGTGACACTGTTGATACAAGCTTTGAAGTTTCCATCAGCGTCTGCAACGACTGAGGCAAATTTGAAAGTTTCATAGGGTCCCATGACCAGTGAAACTTGAGCGTTATCGATAGTCAAAACTCCTCTTAAAAACAATTACATTGGAATTTAAAATACACATAGGTGCATGGCCCATGGGGCATTTCTTACGCCATATCATCACGTTGGTTGAAATCGAAAGTTCTAGTCTCCCATGCTTTGTATATTCCATTGTTGACAAAATTTAGGGTTTGAACAAACATTATTATGTTTGTTAGGATTTGAGCAGCTAAAAAACAAGTTTTTAATAATAATATGTGAAAGATATCCTAAAACTCACGAACAATGGCCATAATGTTTTAAGAAACTACACGATTTTACTAAATACCAGAAGCAATTATTCAATATATTTTAGGATCTATTTGAGAAGATTTTGTTAATCAGTTAATCCTCCAATCTAAGAAAATGATTTAATAGAAAGATAAAAAAGTAGATAGGTAGTCAAAATTTGATGGATTTTATTTACTGTTCGAAATAAATATATCAATGAAGAATGGATTAAACCGAATAAACATAGTTTTCTATTGATAAATAGATATAACTATGTAGGTAAATACCTACATGTTGTAGTGATCCAGAAAACTGGAGCATAGACTTGCAGGGACTTAAAATGCAAAAGAAGAGTTTCCTGAAAATTAAAGTAAATTAAATCTAATAACGTAGTCAATTTTTTTCACATGGTCCCGATTTCGAGGTATTGACCAAAGTCCTATTTTTTTAATAGGAGGCCCTATACCAACCCGCTCACCCCTATAACTTTTTTATTTTTCCAAATAAACAAATCAAATTTGGTGTGTTTATTTATGACCCGGATGCGCATTATTTGACGTATTCAATTATACATTATCACTTCCGGTTTGACCAGAAGTGACCGTAACTTTCTTATTTTAAATGAGACGCCAGGTATATTTTCCCCTATTTCAATAGAAAACTACATTGAGACTATTACGAGTATAATGACACCTCATTTGTCACTTTTTGACAATTCATCTCCAAATTATTTAAATTTTTACTTTTTAATCTAGAGCGCCATGAATTAGTTAAAATGCTTAATTTTGCTCTAAGGAACATGGGAAAATTTGTTTTGATCTTATTTTGTATTTTATATCCTCAACAGACTCATTTAAAGATAGTAGAAGCGCATTTTTGGAATTATATAAATTTTTTCAAATGGAAAGGATATGGCTCATCAGCATATTCCGAGAGAGCATTTTCTAACGAACAATTTAGTACCACACCATCGCTAGTTTATTCAAATATTGAACTAAAGTTTACCAAAAATATTTAGAATGCTAGGAAAATTCTTCATATGAGTGATTGTGTGGTACTGAATTGCTCGTTAGAAAACGCTCTTTTGGAATATTGTAATGAGCCACACCCTTTCCGTTTGAAAAAATTGAGATAATCACAAAAATGCACTTCTACTATTTTGTAATGACTCTGTAGAGGATATGAAATACAAAATAAAATCAAAACAAACTTTTCCAGGTTCCTAAGAGCAAAATTAAACATTTTAACTAATTCATGGCGCTCTAGATTCAAAAGTAAAAATTTAAATAATTTGGAGATGAAAATATCAAAAACTGACAAATGAAGTGTCATTGTACTCGTAATGTAGTTTTCTATTGAAATGAGGAAAAACATACCTGCTGGCGTCTCATTTAAAATAAGAAAGTTCTGGTCACTTCCGGTGATAAAAAATAATTGAAGACGTCAAAAAATGCACATTCGGGTCATAAATAAACACACCAAATTTATAAAAAAGTATAGGTATTAATAACTCATTGGATAGCTCTGTTTGTGCTTATTCTAAAGCCCACATTACATCTGTGTATTTTTTCGGTGTATTTCTACATATTTATGTTATATGGCTTTCACTACTACAATGACCTCCAGACGCGTCTCAGTACCACAGTCGTACCAGGTATCGCATAGTCTAGACGCTTCTTCAGCAATAGTTATCCTGTCTGAGCATGTCATACCAAGAACTACTTCCTCGTCGCCACACTCCAACACTCCCATAGAAACAGCAAGATCAATTTATTTTCGAAATATTTTTTTGTTTTTGAATATTTCTATTTAAATCAACAAAATGCCTAATGAAACCAATGAAACCACTGTGGAAGTTGAACCATACAAACTTTCCGAAATATTTCGATAATTCCTGAATTTGAAGGAAATCAAATCTTTTTAGGAAACTTTATTAATGCATGCGATTGTGCCTACAATATGGCAACCACGCAGCAAAAAGTTTTACTTGTTATTCACATTAAAAATAAGCTCAGAGGTAGAGCAGGTCAACTGATAAGTTCTCGAAACACCATTCTTATTTGGAGATCAAACAACTTCTGAATTTACACTTTGGAGATTCTAGAGACCTTTATTCATCTCTTATCCGTGACCTCCAATGACTCAAACAACTACCTGGCGAGTCCCACCTTACTTTCTACAACAGACTCCAAGTACTGAATGCACAAATGCATTCTTCTATCCGAAAGTCACCATACCTTGAAACAGTTGATCAAAAAGAAGCACAGTCCTTCCTTGTGGAATCTATGGCCCTAAACACTCTTCTTACAGGCCTAGAACCTAGCCTTGGCCAGATTATCAGAGCTGGAAACCCACACTCTCTTTTAGATGCTCAATGTAGAATCGCGAAAGAAATCCAACTTTACTATTTTGAGAATCAGAAGACTCCAAAACCTCCTATTCAAAAAGTTTTGATCAACAAACCACAATCATCCATAAAATTCCTTTTTTGCGGAAAAATTGGCACAAAGCCAATCAACAAGCTTCCAGTCGTTCAAACTTCACTCAATACCCAAATCAAAATTTCCAAAAAACGACGACAGCTAACTACTCAGGCTCCGCAAACCAACAACCAACAACCATTGTTCTGCAAAATAGAACCCAAAATGCATCGACACTTCGAAACAATTCGTACCAAGATACGCTTCGACTACCCCTCAAAGAAACCCCAATTTCTACCCTAACCAGCAAAAAACTTATCTTTTGAATGATTCCTCTAATAAAACATAATATGCCAACGAATTTGAGTACGCTGGAAGCCCTCATTATGAACAAGATGCTAGTTAAATATGAAGAAAACGAATACGCTGAAAAATTCACTACTGATCCGAACGCTGAAAATTATCCGGATTTTCTGGTACCTTTCACCAATCACCATCCACCAGAGAATACCCCTCAAGATCACACTTAAAATATCGAAACTCAAATACAACTTCTGAATCTAGACAACATGAATCCGAACCTAAATTTTCCGGAACAAGCATTTCTTTAAACCCACTTCTTACTGTTAATTCGAAAAATCTGTACTACATTTATGATGCTTCCAATAAATTCAGAATACTTATTGATACAGGTGCAGGCATTTTAATTTTTAAAGAAAATACTATCCATAAATTCCCCTATCGTTCCGAAGAAAACGTAACCATTCAAGGTATCACCGATCAAAAACTCAAGATCTGTGAATCAACACTTGTACCGTTCAACCTCCAAGATCCTCACAAAGTGTATATTTACAACTTAAATATTGATTTTGATAAAATTTTAGGGTTGGATTTCCTAGAACATTATCAATGTGTGATAGATTGAAAAGCTAAAGAACTTGTAACTAATTTCAAAACTATTCCTCTTCATAAAGTTACTGGAGATGACTACCCTAATAATGCAAAACCAAGCAACACTCAAACAATTCTTAACAAAATATCTATAAAAGTTAGAAGGGAAAAGATCTTTATTAAACTCAAGTGTAATCTATCCAACACAGATGCTCTACTCTTTTCTCAAAAAAAAAGAAAAATTCAAATTACCTATTGCTTTAGTAAAAGTTAATGAACAAGTTGAATTTTTAACCCCAATTGTAAATATTAACGCTATGGAAAAAACCGTGGAGTTTTCGCACTGGTCTATCGAACCATTTGTCTCAGAAAGTGAAACTCAAAAAACCATTCTAAGTTTTAACAACTCTAACCTCGAATATGACGATACTTATGATAGGCAAATGTCCATACAACATGAACTTCGTACAGAACATCTAAACGACGAAGAAAAAGAACTAATTACCAACTTCTGCCTGAACTTTTCCGACATTTTCTACCTGGAAAGTGACACGCTCGCATTTACTAGTGAGATTAAACACCCTATTGACACCAATAATGCAAAGCCTGTGTATACCAAATCTTACAGGTACCTACCCCCAAATCCACAAAGAAGTCAAATCCCAAGTTACCAAAATGCTAGACCAAAGCATAATTCGCCATTCTGTATCTCCAAGGTCTTCTCCCGTCTGGGTCGTTCCTAAAAAAAACTTGATGCTTCTGGCAAACCAAATGGCGCGTCGTAATCGACTATACCGTAAAGTCAACGAACTTACTGTAGACGAAAAATACCCGCTGCCTAATATTTTCCGATCTTCTGGATCATTTGGGAAAATGTCAATATTTTACCACCCTTGACCTAGCCTCAGGTTTTCACCAAATAGAAGTGAACCCTAACGATGTTTCGAAAACCGCATTTTCCGTAGAAAATGGCCATTACGAATTCGCACGTATGCCATTTGGATTGAAAAATGCCTCGTTCACAGTTCACATTCCAAAGAGTCATGGACAATATTCTCCTCGGCATTCAAAACGAAAGAAGCTTAGTCTACGTGGACGAATTTCTTCGAAAAGAAGTAGCTTACGTGGGACACCTTATCACTCAAGACGGTGTAAAACGAACCCTGCAAAAATTAGTTGTATTCAGAACTTCGCCACACCCAAAAATCCAAAAGACATTAAATCCTTTCTAGGATTAGCAGGATATTATCGTCGATTTATCCCCAATTTTGCTAAAACATCAAAGCCCTTGACAAAACTCCTCCAGGGTCCCTATTCTTGATTTGAGAGACAATTGTACTCCCCGGGGAGCTCCCTAATTTTTCTACTCCTTCATCATTTCTCTCGATTTCAAAAAGCTTTATCTTGAAAATAGGGAGTAGGAAGTAGTAAGAGAAATAGCGAACACTGCTGCCAGATTTTAGTACAACATTCTGACCAATAACAAATGATGAAAATTGTCCACTGACAGCTTTTTGACAAATGCACTTTTTGTTGTTGTAAATTATTGACCTTTTTAAATTTATCTGTGGCTTATCTGACAATTCTTAGGCAGGCCATATACGCGAATAGACCACAAGTGTGCAGTGGGTATAGTGGGTGAGAAAACCCTCCCTTTATTTAGATTATTTCAAAGGTGAGTTTATAGTGTTTATGCATTTATACTATAGATACTAATAAATACCATCATTCAATGTTTTTCGGAAAGTAGAAGTTAAGAACAAGAATGGCACACACACATATATTATAATAATAA